AAGATTACCACAGCATTTAAAAATGTCATAAACACTAAATTTTATAATTAATTAAATTTGCTGGATAAGCATAACAGAACTCAAGTCCTCCACAGGGCAGCAGCCCTAGTTATTTATGTTCCCATCCTTGTTTTAAAGCAACTCAGGTAGCAGCATAGAAAGTTACTGGCTCTTTAACATCCCCCTTCATGTCTTTTACCTGGCTATTCTTACCGTCACTACTAGAAAGTACAGTAATTCTCCAGGGAACTTTGACAACTGCACACCCTTTACAACCACACTTAGACACACACATTAAATGAAACAATGCAAAATCAATACATATTAAATAACATATACAAATAGGTTTGGGGCTTTAGGTGATACTTTCTTAAGAAACGCATTTCAGACTAGCTCTTGTTTATATCTACTAAGGACATTGTTTCATCCTGCAATATACCTGTACTTATTCACATCTGCAATGCTTTCATTTTGCCACTTTAATATAAAAGAAAAAGAATGTTGGCTATCATCATCAAAACCCACCAACTGCTACTATTACTACTACATCACTACATAGAAAGTGGCTTGCTACAGAGTTCTTGTTTTGCTTTAGTAAGCATTTTCTTGTAATTTTAGGAAGAAGTTTCTCATTCAATCCTAACACAAAACAACAAAAATCCTTTTGGGAGAAATCAAAATAGCTAGAAGTAGGAATGTTTTTAAGATCTATGAAATCCAAGTTTCTTTAGAAAGAGCAGTGAATGACACTATTGCTCTTGCCATACGAGATAAGGAGAACTGTTGAGAAATTACAGGACATAAATATATATCCCTGTTAGCAACCCAAAACCGCCCTGCTTGATTAAAAGATGTATTTAGGTATTCATTAGCTGACTAAACTATTGCAACATTAAAACTTCTGTTTCTTGCATCCACCTGAGCTTGAAAGAAGGTGTTATCATCAAGATCTTTGTCAAGAGAACTAAATGAACATGAGAAAAGTGTCCTCTTTTAAGGAATTATTAAACAAAATCCCTAACAATCCAGTCCCTTCTTCTAGCATATGCTTTTTATGACAACTAAACCCAGATTATTTTATGCTTACTAACTTTGTGGGTTTTATGTTCCCGAACTCTATTTTTATTATAATCTTTCTTAGACTACTTTCTTCATAAGATCTGTTTTAATCTCTAGAGTATTTAGCCAAACCAGGTAAGCCAACTGCTATCAGCATTAGTAGTAAAAACAGGTTGTTGAAGACTGTACAGCAGTCAAAAAAGCACTGAATACCTGATCTGCTGCATCCGTCTAGTTTCTTTGGCTGTATAGGTAGCAATATTTACAAAATCACTTTGACTTTATGCAGTAGAGATAATCTACTTTGTAAAATAAAAAGCAAAAGCATAAATCTTTTCAATCACATTTGGAAATTGTAGCATAGATAAAAAGATCAAAATAATATATATACAATATAAAAATACATTTTTTCTTTATGAAAGTTATAATACATAACTATAATACACATCATGTTGAGCCAACAGTCAGAGCTGCAGTATTTGCAGATGCTTGTTCCATACTATGGCTGGACTCTGGGTATGATATCTCCCTGGGGAAATTCCTCGATTTCAGTATGAAACATCAGTTCTAAAAAAGAAAGAAAACAATTCTGGGTTTGTTTTTTTAAAAAGTTTCACCTGAATACGATTTCATTATTCCTAGAAGGTGTTCTGGCATTCCCCCAAACCTCCTGCTTTTCTTCCCAATCATAGTATCAAGAAATCAGCAAGGGCCTACACTGTCTTTAGAAAACTATTGTTGCCCCCCAAAATTAACAAAATTAGCGATGATGTTAGCAGCTGATCACATGCAGTATCATCCTGCATTCAGCTAACAGCACATTCAGCATATAGACCAGGCTGTGTTTGCCAACAGCTTGTCAACATGGTAAAGTTAGATCTTTGCATGCAACAATGTGGTTTATCCGCTCAGGTTTGAGATTCACATTTTTGCTGCCTCATCCTTAGTAGACTAAACTCTCCCTACTATTTGGGATAAGTCCTAACAGAATTTCTCTCTTAAAATTTCTGAAGCAGGTTTTCTAATCTTAGTAGCCACATGTAAATATCAAAAAAGCTCATCAAAACCTGAGTTAAATCCTGCACTGGCTTTGTTGCATAAGTCTTTATTATTTAAAAAATGGGTTTTAAATACAATTAAACATCTATTCTAAATTTTACTGTCAAAGATTGTAAAGGCTGCCACCTAGGGTTTTTTTAATCTCATTGAGTTATTAGAAATAAACTGAGTAACTGGGGCCAGATGAAATACAGAAATCTGTACATTAAAATTCTAAAGTAATCTGAAGAAGCACGTTGAATTATCAGCCTCCCAAACACAAATCGGTGCTTCAATTCACAACACTCTTTGGATACCTGTTGACTTGTAAGTTGAAACTTTTTTATGTACATCATAGCTTCAAGTCACATGCTGCATGCACTTGATAGGAAAGCCGAATTATGATACACTTTTTGGATCCCAGTTGGAATAACAAAAGGAAGGCTGCCTAGTCTCTAACAAAGCTTCTTCTAAGAAAAGGGGATGACTTGCCTGCCCCCTTCTCCAGCCTGAGGGACAAGCAGTCCTCATTTGAAGTCCTGTTGTGCAAGCACAAATCTGACTTTTCAAAGCTCAGGAGTTCCCAAAACTACTGCAATGTTCTATTGAAAATAATACTGAACTCAAAATGCATTCAGCATTTGCAAAAGGAACATTAATAACATTAGGGAATTTTCTAAAACACAAGCAGAATAAATACATTCCAAATATTCAAAATACTGTTAAAGTAAAAATTATTTTTCCCTTCAGTGGCGACACACACACTCTCATGTTTCAAAATTCATGTTGCTTCAGCCAGGTCAAACAAGGCTTTTCTTTCCTTTTTAAATTACTAGTTTTTCTTTATAAAACCAAACACAGACACCAGCATCCTAAGAAGTACTTGCTTTGGAAAGGTGCTAGGAGATTATTATTGTTTTTCCTCAACCAAAAAATTTCTCCGGACTAGTCTTTAACACCAAATGCAAAGCACAGCAGATAAAAGCCTGAACAAACAACATTTTGCCTATTAATGTTTCCTACCTTCACTGTGGTCTAACTCTGGTCGGTAAGACAAGAAGATCCAACTTGTCCCAACTAGAATAGACACTACCAGATTCACCACAACCCACGGCTGAACAATTTCTTCCTCTGTACCTGCCATCCTGGGAAAAACACATCATCCCATCAGTCAGGGATTTGCTGGTACATACAGGTTACAGTAATAATTTCAACAGAGTATCATAAAAACAAGCTTGCTAAGCCAGATGTGAAAACAGAACTATTTGTACCATCCTGATGGTCTTGCATTGTAAAGGCCTGGTAAAGAGAGAGACTACCGAAGACAGCAACTCAGCTGAGAAACTCCATTATCTCATAGAGAATGTCTACTTGTAGATTTCAATGGCAAATTTCTTTTCTTGGCCAAGAGACAGAAAATAAAAATCAAAATGTACAGTCAAATTTTACTGTGGTGAAAGACACCGCACAACGTCATCAGTCGATCTTATTTTTAAGCACTTCCTCATAAGGCAGCAAGGGAAGTGGACAGCAAGTCAGTAAAGTCTGTCTGGAAGCCAATGCAGGGACTTGTGTACACATGCTGTGGGGTGGATGAGATAGGGCTTTAAGAAGTTATGATTTAAGTTAGCAGACACTTTTCTTACTGTTATAACTGCAGCAGGTTGCAGTATTGTTGCTAGAATCTAGGCTTTTTAATAATCAACTCAACCAACATTTATAGAAGCCCTAAAAAAGAGAAAAAATATCTAACTGCCCAAACCAACAAATTTTCATGGTAAATGCTTTTGTTCTGCTGCTCCTTGTCTATTTTAAAAACTCCTGGTACTAGAGTTTAAATGCATTAAATATCTACTTCAGAAAGTAACAGTTTTGGATGGGATCTCATAGCATGAAACAATGCTTCATATTTAATGCCAGCTGTGTCTGCTAAGCCCTTGTATCCTGTGGCAGACATACCACTTTTTTGTAATACCATGACATCCATTGCTTGGACAGATTATACTATCTCCTTCAAAACCAGTGTTGATTCTCTACAGAATGTCCTGTGTCCCTTGAACACAAAAGGGTTACCTCAGTAGGGTCCCATTTCTCCAACAAAAGAGATTCTTAAGGTTCCTCCCAGATGACATTTTCAGCATCATTCCAACAGACTTTTGTTTGAGCTGTAATGGATTTGAAACCAACATGACTGAACCCATCCTTGAGTTCTCATTTTTCAGTGAAATTATCAGAGATTCAGGACAAGCTCAGACAAAAGCAGTTTAGTAATGAAATCCTTCATTAGTATTTTCTTATGTATGTCATATAACCTTTTCAATCTACCAGTTCGACAAAGGTTCCTAAGTGAGCTGTTATAATTTACAGAAGTGATTTCTTAAATTTCCTACCAGATGCTGCCATTTTCTGAAGGTGGTGTGTAGAGGTTAATTCTGTCACATGTCATCTGCTGGCTTAAGGATAAAATAAGAGCAGCAAAGTACACTGGAAGAAATGGAATTAGCAGTGTCAGATATTAATCCCCAAAATGCTGTCTCATCATGACATGATAATTATCACTACATTTTCTCTCCTTTCACTCCACTGTCTCCAACAACAGTCTCCTTTAATTCATTCTCTCTTCAACATTCCCCTGACTCTGGTTTCTTCACGTTTGCAATTCATCAGCTACATCAAAGGTGGCATCTTGTGATTCTAGGTTTTTCTAGATCTGTGTTCTGTATTCAGAAGTGGGGAAAAAACTATCATCTCACTAACAGCCCCACTAATGCTACTATTGCAAATGCTTTAAAAAAAAACATAGCAATTTTAGTTGCTATTTTCAACTACTAAGTAAGTCACTTATTCTAAAGCAGAAAAATAACCAGGGAGGAAGGTTTCACTGAAAACAGTATGTAGGATTTCTCCATTTGCCATCTCTTCTGGACAACTTCCTGTCTGCTTCAAATTACTTACGGAAAGAGGCTACTGCTGCTGGGTCTAGGGTAAGAAAACCCCTCACTGCAACTGATGCTTTTGCCAAATCAATCCTGATAACAAAAACAAGAGTCATTAACACAGCCCAGTAAGATAATAATATTGTTCCTCCAACAGTACTCTATTTTTACTTTTTGCAAGATATCTTTTTCTGCCTCTGTTACAGTGCCTTAATTCATAACTATATCCCGCACACATGGCAATGGTCCTCATGCCAAATCCAAGAAAGACTGAAACTAAGGAGTATGTTCCATGAAGTTTGTAGCTTTCACGTGGCAGTCCTTTCTAGAGCAGGGAGAATGTGGAGAGATCTGTCCCCTCTCTAATCCTTACCATTCATTTCAGTGTCCACACCACCAACCAAGTTATGCTAATATAACTGCTCACATAGCTTACAGGAGCAATTAAGAATAACTCAGGCCTCCTCCCTGCCACCACTCTGTGAAAAGTCACCATTTCTTCATAGCGCTAACTCCTCCCCGGCTTATCATGCTGCCATGGAAACTATCTGTAACTAAAAGAAACATCTGTAACATCTATGAATCTACACTGTTTATGGTCTTTTTTGCTCCTCTTTCTGTTCATTCCTACTCTTAAGCTGTAACGCAGAAACCCATCTGCAGGATGGGTTTCCAGGTAAGCCAGGAAAACTATTTACACAGCTATGTGGCAAACCTGACTGGGGAGTGGATTCACATGAGAAGTAACGTGACGGAAACATTAGTTGTAAAAAAAAAAACAGGTCAGCTCTTCCATCTGGTTCACCTCATGATCACACGACCACCACCAGCACATTGAAGCAAGGCTGCAGGCAACAGACAGAAACAAGTAACAAAGGTCTGAATGCACACCCTTTATCTGTATAGCCAGCCATGTGTAAAATCATTCTTTAAGTATATCACATTAAATCATCAACAGCAGATCAAAATGTGCCATAGCAAGGCGAAAGGAACATATTGTACACAAATTACATACACCTTTCAAATGCAAACATATTTTACCTGTCAAAGGCTGAAACTGTACTGATAGACAGCAACAAATAGAACAAACTTTGAGCTGGGTATGCTAGTGTCTTATACTGCTCGAGCAGTTTAGAAACTGTGGAAAACTGATTTCCTGCCAAAATGTAGATAACAATGATGTTCCATACAGCATACCCAGCAAGGAAGCCATGGGTAAAGAGTCCGATCACCCTGAATGGAGAAAAGAACATTAGACAAATTTAACATCTTGAATTAGTGAAGAACTACAAGTAGAAAATGCCTGTGAATCCATCTGTTCAACCCTGCTGCCATGACAGGATCCCAGACGATTTCACAGATTGTTTCTGAGTGGTTTTTTTGATCTAGTTTTAAAAATTCTAAGCAACGGGACTTCTGCTTCCTCCCTTGACAGACTGCACCAGAACCTGAGTACTTAAAGAAAACTAAGATGTTTTGCCTGATCGTACCACTACTTCACTTCATTACTGCTACAGTAATGAAATACTTTCATTTGCTGCCTGTAGCTTCCCAAGACCACTGCCCCTTACACTTACACAATGCCCTTAAACCTGTTCTCAAGTCAGTCTTTTTATTATCTTCCTTGCTAAAAAAAAAAGCTGAGAAGGAAATACAGGCTTCCAGATAAAATACACCAGAGAAGAAAAAGGCTGTCAACTTCCCATTCTGTATCACAACATGGCTACATATTAAAAAAAATAATCATTTTTTGCTATCGTGTGCAAGCTTATGCCCCAGTCCAATTTTACTCGTCCCTCTTTTTTACCAACCAGGATTTTTCTTTGAGAACTATCTGAATTCAGGTATTTTTTATTCTGGTCATATAGCTGATGGATAAATCTAATTTTGTAACACATTTTTTTCTGTAGGTCTCTAATATTTTTGTCATCAGATCAATCTCTTCCTATTCAGATTTTGTCTGAATCTTTGCAATATGACTTTCTTAGTTATTCTTTTTATAAGTTGCATTTCATATGTGATATCTAGACTAGAAGTAGATATTCTTGACAACAAATAACAAAAGGTAGAAGACTGAGAAACTTTATACCTGTTGCATCCCAAACCACCACTTATTAGAATATCCAAAAGAAATAAAGATATATCACAATGACAAAGAAAATGTACTAACTTTCAGGGAGAAAAAAAACAAAAAAAAACCCATAACCCTGATTTCTGCTTATTTACATCAAAATATTTATCTTTCACCTAAAACTTCGGTGCACTGAGAGAGCAACATCTCTGGTAGTCCAGGAGGCCTTCACATCCATAAGTACATTGATATTTTCGGTGGTTTTAATCAATTCTGCACGGTCAGCTGCCTGAAAACGCCCTAAAAGGATGAGGAAATTTGTTTTAGAGAGTACTGTTACCTTCTACATATTATTCTGCATTAATACTTAGTAGTATTAAAAAGCTGTAAGTGTCAGAAGTTCCATCAGAAAATTTCTTCTCCCCACTTCCTGCCCTTTGTCAACTTACATTCATACCAGGATGCCTCTGTCAGTGTGATGCATCCTGGTGGGTCAGGCTATGGATGTAAGAATGTGCAAAGCACTTTGGGTAATTACTCAGTGTTCCCTAGTAACAAAAAAAACCCCGAACGAAAAACCCCAAAACAACAACAACAAATCCACCAAACTTCCACTTGAAAGACTTTTTGCAATATAGTAAATGATACTTTCTTCTAAAGGTACTGTGACAGTATTAGGTGAAATAAGCTCAGCTGGATAGTATCAAACAGCCTTTTTCACTCACACCATAGAATTAAAAAATTCAACCAAACATGCCAGCACAGCAACACTAACATTCACTGTTGAAAAATTATCATGTATATTTAGTTCCAAATAATTTTTGTTCTGGAAAACTTTTTTCTTTCTTTTATTTTTTTAATTTTTTCCCAGTACTGCAATATTTGGATTTTAAATACAATAATGCTTCCTTTAATTGCAACAATGTCCTTAAATTACTTAAATCACGAGATCTACTTACGATTTTTTTCAACAAACACTTTGCTAACAGGCTGGCTAATTCCAGTGGGAGCAGCAAACACAGGCTGCTGATCTGGGCTCTTTCTGTGCTCATCTTCAATGATGTCTTCCTCCTCCACTTCCAGCTCATTGGAACAGTGCATTTCAGCTGGCCGAGGTTTCCTGTCAGCATAGAACATGCAATGAGGCAGAGAAAGAATAGGAAATAATATGTAAAAACTGAAGGCTCCTGTGAACATTTAACATGTCTAACTTGACTGATAAGAACCGATCAGGCCGCTGACCTGTATAATATTACCCCCGTTTATAATTTTAAGGACTAAAGTTCTCATGGAGTTGGTTAACTAAATCCATACGCTAATCCTTGATTTTGGGGGTTTTCTCTCTATTTAAATTCCTTCCTGTGTCAAAACAGTAAGGTGGGAAGAAATACATATCAAGAGATTTAACAATTAGAAAAAAAATACACAAACTAAATACAAGGCCAAGAAAGCGGATGCTTTTGGTAGAAAGGCGACTAAGATGATTTAAAGTATAGTTCTTAGAGAAAAAGCAAATAAAAAGGATGACAAAGCAGTTAAGTTTCTCATAAAATTAAGAAAAGGTAGTAAAAATGAAAGCAAGCAGTTACACATTCTAGTTTTTTCATGTATGTGATCAAAATATTAAGCTTATATAAACGTATTCAGAACTGTAATGCATCCAGGTATGCATAAAATAAACAAGTGAAGAAAGTTAGATCTTAACCCTGGAAAGAACTGCACGCATACTATTTATTGCACAGACTGAACAGTATCCTGGGCTTCAAGATGTTGTATTTTTGTAATGTGACAATGTAAAATGCTACTCAGCCACATTCATTATCACAGTTACTCCAAATTATGAGCTATACTAGTTTCATCTCACTTTGTTCTTTTTCTCTGTTTGCGGATCACTGTTTCTTCAGCTTCAGGGACATCCATGCCATTTCCATTCTGAAATAGGGATGCAACGTTTTGCTGGGTAAAAGAGGTCTCAGAATCTGAAGATTTAAAATAAACCACGTGAAAGTTTCACAGCTTTCATAAAAATGGAAATACATTCACTGAAATACATAGTTATTATGTAAACACAGCAGCAAAAAAGTGATGATCTTCTGAGCTTTGAATGATATAAAGGATCTATTTTATTACTTCCAAAACTGTATTGTCACTATTTGCATGAGGGTTTGTACCCTATGGAATCTAAAGTCAGAAACTGCAACTCTAAGCTACCATTCACTCAGAGACTATTTTCAGCTGTTGTAAGTACAAAAGCACATGAAATGTTTTAAGCCAAAATACAAGTTGGCCAATCATATTTCTGAATTACCAAGT